TTATTTTCGATATGGGAGTCATTTTCAATGTATTTTTACACGCTGAACACAATCCCGGGTCTTAAAAATTTTTATCACTTCAAGATTTTGAGAAAAGTCAATGTAAAGACTAAAAAAGGATGTTTTTCCCCTGTCCAAAAATTCTACACCGAAAGAAAATTTATTTTTTCCAAACTTCTGGCTATTTTCGAACAAAATGTAAAGCCATGTGATTTTTATTTTCCTGTTTGTGTGCGACGGGGAATTTATTTTTCTTTTGGACAAAAAAAGATTGCCATATACGTAGGTATACTTGGCACCTGACCTAGAGAGCTACACGTTGCACGTGTACCGGCATAAATCCGGTGATGATACACACGCCACGTGCAATTCTTTCGCAATGAAAGTGTGCCGTGACCAGTGACCAGTAAAATCGTCTTTGGTGAAACTTTCGCGAAAAGGAAATGATAATTAACATTTGTTGACGCGACAAAAAGATGTCGTAAAAAATTTAAATATTATTTTTTCTTTCTTCACTTTTTATTAACCGTTAATTAATATAATTTTGAATAGCCGTTTTTCTGTCACAAACACTACTAAAAAAATATAGTTTGCTATAACTTAATTTAATATTAAATTTCAGTAAAGCTAAATTTCACTCTTTTGACTAAATTGACTCTAATTTTTTAACTAGAATAGTTAAAATAACTTTGGTTTAATCTAACAGAAGCTAAAAAGAAAATAAAAATTCTCGTTATTTAAATAATAATAATTTTTTTTTTAATCAAAACATAAAAAATTTAATTTTATAGTCAAAAGTTAGCTATAGTTAAAAATTATAAAAATGCGAGAAGGCGAAGAATTTCCAAGCAACGAATAACGTCAAACAGTAACTTTGCAATTCATGACGATGCGTCAAAAAGCAAACTTGGATTGGAAGTCGTGAACTTTCTTTGGTCTCGACCTCTTTGCCTGATGGCAAGAACAATCGTGACATACGTCATCTTTATCACGATTACCCATGCCTCACGCACAAGTAGGTCTCAGCTTGTAGCTCACAGTTCTGTCCATCAAATGCACTCCTCAATTTTCATCTCTTTGATGCAACTTCTATAAACTCGAAATTAGGTCCCTAATTATTCTCATTTTATTTCATTTTATTTTCATAATTTATTATTTATCTTTCGTTATGCACTGTCTATTACTTATTATTCACTATTTGCTAATGACTACGATGTTATTTATTTATTAAATTGAAATTTAATTTCTAAATTTAATTTTATTAAATTATCATTGTGATACTTTATTTTATTATATTCAATATATTATATTATTATTTTCTGTATATATTATTAATAATTAATTATAAATAATAATTTAGAACATTTTTTGTTTCTTTAACGTACATAATAAAAATTTTATTATTTATCAAAATTATTTGATAAATATATTATCAAAAAATACTATTATTAGTAGCGAATGTTATACGCGCGAACGTGATATTCAATTTATTATTGTTATGCAAATTACAAAATTTTTTATTTTCAAATATAAATTTTTAAAATTCACTTATTAAGTACAAAATTAATTATTATTGTTTATATTTTCAAAAATTTTAATATAATTTTTCGCAAGAATTCAATTATTTTTAACAAAATTTTAATACAATTTCACGAAAGAATTCAATTATTTTCAATAAATCCTTCTAAACAATTTAATTATTTTCAATAAAATTTCACAAAGAATTTAATTTATTTCTTAATTCGTTATAAAAATTTTCAAAAGAATTCAATTATTTTCTAAAATTTTAATAAATCCCTCGCAACAATTCAATAATTTTGATAAATAGTAAAATTCTTTGCAGGAATCCAATTATTTTTCAAAACAATTTTAATTGAATTCCTCGGAAGAATTCAAATATTTTTAAATATTTCCATAATATTCAATTACTTCCTAAAATTTTAATGAATTCTTCGAAACAATTAAACTATATTTTTATAAATACTAAAATTCTTTGCAGGAATTAAATTATTTTTAATTTAATTTAAATAAAATTAAAGAAATGAATTTAATTCTTTTTAAAAATTTCCATAAAATTCAATTTCAACAAGAATTTAAAATTCTCCAAAAATAACTCAATTATTTTCAAAATTTTAAAATGAATTCTATATGCAAATTAAATTACTGTCAATGCAATTTTTAAATATTTTCGTCAAAAAAATTTAATGAATTCAATTATATTTAAAAAATAATAAAATTCTTCTTATGAATTCAATTATATTTTTAAAGAAGTATATTCTGCTGATGAGTTCAATTATTTTCTATATTTCTTTACAGAAATTATTTTCCAAAAAATTTAAATTGAATTTCTCTAAAGAATTTAATTAATTTCAAATATTTCTATAAAAATCTTCAAAACAATTCAATTATTACCTAAAATTTTAATAAATTCTTCAAAACATTTTAATTATTTTTATAAATAATAAAATTCTTCGGAGTAATTTAATTATTTTTATAAATAGTACACAATTTTTTGCGGAAATTCAATTCTTTTCAAAACAATTTTAATAGAATTCTTCAAAAGAATTTAATTAGGATTTTTAAAAATTTTAATACAATTCTTTACGAAAATTGAATTATTTTAATAAAAAAAAAAAATTTTCGAAGGAATTCAATTATTCTTTTCAAATTTTTTGATAAGACACTTTGCAAGAAATCAATAATTTTCAATACATTAATTTTACAATTAAAAATATTTAAAAAGAAAATTTTTTTAAAAAGTGAGGAAAAAATAATTATACAAATTATAATAATATAATAATAATAATAATAATAATAATAATAATAATAATAATAATAATAATAATAATAATATAATTAAAAAATGTTTCGTCTGATTTACATTGACTATTACTACTGAAATAAACTTCAAAACATTTGGTCTGACTAAAAATTGACTTATACTACTAACTTACATGTGAACCAATATTATTATTATTTATTTTGTTTTATTTATTTTCTTTGTTTAATAAATCGAAAAAAATGTTTTTATATTTCTTTTTCATTTTTTTACTAAAAATTTCTTTCTTTTGTTATAATTTGCGGGGGGGGGGGGATTCTTTTCAAAACAATTTTACAAAATTGGACAGCGTTTCAAGTAGTTTATTTTTAATGCAAATTATTTGCTTTCTACGTTCTTTATATAGAACATTTGCTTTTCAGATAGAGAGAGAGAGATATACTCTGGCACTAATTCAATTTTGCAAGAAACATTAAAATATTAATATTCGACCAATAAGAAAGTGATGTTATGATGTAATATGCTACCTCGATAAAATAAGGATTAATTTTTTTTTAATTTATTAGATAAAACGTTAATGTAGCAGAAAAATATGCAATAAAATTCATTATTTATTTCTCCTATTTACTCAATTTAATTTATTATTTTGAATCCACTCCATTTAATTTGTCATTTTAAAATTATTTATTTAATTTATTTTACGTTTTTACGTTTTTTTTATTGTTTATTATTAAAAATAAACTATTTTTTATTTATTTTATTTGCATTATTTATTGAATTTTTTTTATTTATTTCACCATTTTTTGTTTATTCCTTTTATTTGGTTCATTTCATTTATTTTGTTTCTTTGGTTTATTTTATCCATTTATTTTCTTTATGTTTTTTATTTAATTTATTTTATTCATTTTGTTTCTTTGTTTTTTTCTTCATTTGTTTCATTTATTTATTTTAACTATTTACTTCTTTATTTTATTTATTTTGTTTTTGTGTATTTGGTTTATTTTGTTCCTTCTCTTTATTTATTTATTTTATCGACTTATTTATTTCATTTTATTGCTTATCATTTATTTCGGTTTTTTTTTCATTCATTTTTCAACAAATTAAAAATACATTAAGGAACTCATATTAAGAGCAAAATAATTTATCAATGAAAATATAATTAAAGTGAAAAGCACGCGAGAATTTGCAATAAAATTTGCAATACGGAAAAATATAAAATAAAATTGACTTTTTTATTCGACAATTACTGTTAGGATATTAGAGAAAAAGAAAGAAAAACAAGATAAAAGTTGAAATATTAATAATTATAAAATGAATGTGATGCTGTGTGTATCAGGGAACACCTGTTACACTTAGAAATCTATATAATGTTAGGTTCAGTTCATTTCCAATTTACGATTCAATGTTTTATGGTTTTACTTTCTAATTGCGAGCAAGTGATTAGCGGCAACATGAACTCAAGGCCATTTCGTGACGCGGATCGTTTAAGTCGCAAACTTAACGATTTCACAACCTAACAATTGCCAATTCTCCTGTCAAAGAGACTTGACTTCAAAAATTTCAAGAGATACAAATGACTCGTTTATTAGCAACGCGCGCGAGTTCCGGCGATTATACACTAATTCCTTCCACTTTCGTCCACGAGGGAATCGCAAGTTGGATTTTTATTTCGCAAAATATTCAGGACAAAAAAAAATTGAATTTTTTTTTAATAAAATATTATTCAAATTTATTTGATAATAAATATTATTCTGTTTAATAAGAAATAATAATTAGAAACAACTCTAATTTTGACAATAAATAATAAATTATAAATATTTTTCATGTAAATTTAATGAGAGAAATAAAGAATTGGTAAAAAAATATCTTCCAGGGGAAAAGAAAATTTTTTCAGTCAAAGAAAAAAATTATCAAGCACCGGGATTCGAACGCACGACGTTAACATTTCCCTGTCCGATAACTTGACCCAGTGACCACGCCACACGCAAAAAAGGATAAACCAAATTCTACTATTTTTACCCCAAACCAACTCTTTATGAAGTTTTTGACCACTTCTGACAATTTTTACCATATTTTCGAAGTTTAATTGGTAAAATATAGTAAAATCGGAAATAAAGTAAAAATTTGAAAAGAAAAATGATTTTTGAATGATAAAATAAAAATAAAATTTCTTTGTGTCCATTTTTTTTAGCAAAGATTTTGTATATTATTTATTACTCACCATTTTTAGAGTCTCTTCGGGTCTCAGGAGATAAAACATGGACTGAAGATGCTGTTGAATATCGCATCCTGCGGCCGAAACACGACGCGACGGCCGTGCTCTTTCGTTTGGCGGTAGAACCAAGGCCGCACCCTTGCCCGCGAAATAGCATTCACTCAGGCTGAAAAAGAAGGAAAGCATTTTAATTTAACAAAAAGAAAAAAAACGAATTCTCTTGCGGAGCAATCAAATAAAAAAAAATTATGCAAATAACTCTGTATTAAAGAAAGATTTGTTTTTCTTTTTCAGGGGCAAAAGGATAATATTTCGAAGTACAAAAAAAAAAATAAAAAATGACTTTTAAAGAAAATAATAATAAATAATAATAAATAATAATAATAAATAAATAATAAATAAATAATAAATAAATAATAAATAAATAATAAATAAATAATAAATAAATAATAAATAAATAATAAATAAATAATAAATAAATAATAAATAAATAATAAAAATTAGAAATAAAAAAATCATAAAAGTAAAAAAAAAAATAAAATACAGAAATACAAATTTATTTATTTACCGCATAAAAATATAAATAATTAAAAAGTACAAATAACTAAAAAAAATTGAAATGCAAGAATACAAATTTATTTATTTACGATATAAAAATATAAATAATTAAAAAAGTACAAATAACTAGAAAAAATTAAAATACAAAAATACAACTTTATTTAATTACAAATATAAATATATAAATAAAAAATACAAATAACAAAAAACAGTAAAATACAAAAATATAAATAAATAAAATTATCTCAAATAAATAGACAGAAATTAATTAAAAAGAATAAAATAAAAAAATAACTAATTAAAAAAAATATTAATTAATAAAAAACTCAATTCCTTCTTGAATATAAAATAAAATAAAAGTTATAATAAAAACTGTAAAAAAGAAATAAAACATCAAACTTTTTCCGAAAGTTCGAAGTAAATAAACGCTCAATGTAATATCGAAGGAAAAAAAATATTCATTTAAGTCAAGTCATTACATAAGTGCAGGCAGTATTATATATATAAAAATTCTCGATTATAACAGAAAGAGAGAGAGAGAGAGGTGGAGAGGAAGAAGAAGAAAGAAAACGGTTGAATAACCGCGGGGGTTCACGCGAGGTCAATTCGTCAATTGGTCTTATTCGAAGGAATAAAAATCGACGTCGATCGTCGTTAGCGAGTCGCTTAAGAAAACCACGAGGAGAGAGATCTTAATTTATATACATATATATATATATATGAACATGTATACATATATATATTAAATGGGAATGAAACGGTTGATTTATTCCATAAATAGTTGGTACGCTATATTTTCCCAATGAGCCGCTTCATTTTCGTTTAATCATTAATCGACGTGTCACAATCCATAGATTATAATAATAAAAAATTCGAAGCTCATTGGCTTATTAATTTTAATTTATTATTGTCAAGTGAGGAAAGATCACTTTCCTATCACTTTGATCACTTCAATTGCTTCTATTTGTATACTTCAATTTTTCTGTATTTTTAATTAGTAAATTACACTCAATGACTTCATAAATTTTTATTATTTTTTATTAGGTATTATTATTAGTTTTAGTATTATTATTATTATTTTTTTTCTTCTTTGTATTAATACTATTGGTACTTATTTCATTATAAATTTATTCAAAATTACATTTTGTTTTTTAATTATCATTTTAATTGTAAATTATCCACTTGAGAACGAAAAGATCCTCACAAGGTGGCGAGGAATTTGGTTTTAACAACCGAATTGCCATCTAGCGGTGACCTTGGCGTTCTCAGGTGGACAGTAGCATTGCCATATTGAATCTCAAGATGTTCTTTATCTTTATTACCCACACAAAATTATCATAAATAATTTATTTATTATTAAGCATAGATTTTACGAATAATAAATTATTTTTTACCAACAATTAGCTTTTTTCACCGCAAATTACTTAGTTTGCTTAAAAATAATTATTTTCCACTAAAATGGCAAAGAAGTTCTTACTAAAAATTTCCCATTTTTTCACTAATTTCTGAAGCAAAAAATTATCAAAAATTTTACTAGTAATAATATACAATTTTTTAAAAAACAATTACTTACTTTATTTTTTATTAAAAAGGCGACCAAGTTTTAGTATCGATTTAGTGAATTTTTACTAAAATTTTAATTATTTTATTTATAAAATAATAAATAAAGTAAATAAATCCCTTTTTTAGATGGTAAATTATTTTATCAGAGTTTAATCTAATAGAGAAATTTTATTATTTATTTATTTATTGTTACTACTAATCGAAAAAATAATTTTTAAAATCCATGTAAAAAATATTTTGATTTTGGCAATACTTTCTTTTACTTTCTATTTTTATTTAACAAATAAACGGGTCATGTGCCATAAATTTTTTTTCCTAAAGTACTTTATCGTTTCTCGAAAAAAAAAAATTCTACTCCTCCCATTTAAATAAACACAAAATAAAGGAGAAAAATATTCCATAATTTTGTTTTCAGAACGATTTGAAAAGCAGTTATTGAGCTTTGGCATACAGTGGAAGGTAAACGATATTATGATAATGAAATACAGAGGAGCAGACTATACACCTAATAAACGTTTTGTTCATCACACTAGAAAAACAAAAAAAAAAATAAAAAAATTTCCAACTTTGCTGTTAAAGAAATGAAAGGTGTGAATACGTAATGTCTACATGGAAATTTCGTGAAGAAAAAAAAAGAACAAGCAACGTTTATGTTAAACTATCAACACACATAAGGTATAACATAATCTCTGCTAACAATAGCATCACTTTGTACTACTCGTGTGTAACAACAACCTTTTCTTTGTTCCCTTTCAGTGAAAGTACAACAGTGCATTTTTCATTCGACTTTTGAAAACTAAAAAGGCCTCCCTTGTACACAAAAACTGTGTTTCGAATGCGTTTTGTCAATTTTCTTTTTCTATAATCACGTTTTGTTGGATGTTTCTGTGAATAGATCAATCATCTTTATAAGTTTCGAAACCAAATTCATTCCTTTCCTTTCTTGTTTTTAAAAAAATAGTAAAAAATAGTTATTTTTTCAGTACTGATATTATTTGTTATTATGTTATTTATTTTATTTTTTATTATTATTCTTATTTTTATTATTATTTTTTTATAATATTTTATGGATATTTAAAATAGTAAATAACATAACAAGTAAAATAGAAGAGTAAATAATAAAAATTATAATTTTTATTATTATTATTATTATTTATTATTATTATTATTATTTATTATTTTTATTATTATTTTATTATTTTTATTATTATTTTTTTATAATATTTTATGGATATTTAAAATAGTAAACAACATAACAAGTAAAATAGAAGAGTAAATAATAAAAATTATAATTTTTATTATTTACTCTTCTATTTTACTTATTACGTTATTTACTATTTTATTACTTTTTTCTATTATAGATTAGTTATTATTTTATTTTTGCTTCCTCGTGGAGGAAACTTTGTACAACTATAATTTAAATAAATAAATACGAAATGAAAAAGAAAAAAAAATTACATTACTTCCTTATGAAAAAAAAAGAAAAAACCTTTGTTCGACTTGAAAACTATTTTATTAGAATTTTCACATCGCCGCACGCTAAATTCGTCAGCGCTATTTCCAGAGTAGCGAGAAACTTCGAGTGTCAAGAGCACGCCTTTGCCAAACGCGAATGTCCGAAAGCCAAAATTTCATTTTTGCACGCATGCAAAATTCATGTTTTAATAATAGAATATACTACACAAATTATGAATTATTGTGACTTTCAACTTTTTTCGATTTTCAAATATTTTATTTATTTTTCAGTTATTTTCAAAACAAAAAAAATTAATGATTTTCAAATAATTTTTTCTATTGAATCAAATTAAATTAAATTCAATCAAACTATTTAATTTGATTAACAGTTTAAAAATTTTAACACTGGTAACTTAAAACTATCAAATTGCAACGAATTGATATAAAAAATGTGAATCTAATAAAAAATTTAAGAAAACTAAATAAATTTTTTAATTTATTCTCTAAAATATAAAATGTATTTCCACATAATTTGACGAAATTTTCAAAGGTTTACAAATTTTCAATTAATTATTTTCGTGAATTCAATTTATCTTGGAGAAATTTTAATTAAATTTCAAACAAAATTTATTAAGAGCCTAATTTTTTCAGAATTAATAATGCTTCAGTAATTTTGTTAAATTATTTTAAATACTGTTTGTTATTTATTTTTTCACAAAAATTAAAATTTTTTAAAAATGCAATTTCAAATCTTCTGAAATTTGATTATTTATAGAAATTACAAATATAATTCTTCTAAAATTCAGTTATTCTCTAGAATTCTTAAATAAAATTCTTCTCTAAATCGATTTTTTAGTAACTTTAAACAAATTTTTTAAGAATTCAATTATTTTTTTTTTTAAAAAAGGAAGGTTCATTTAAAATAGTATAAAATTAAATTTTTTTTCATTTAAATGTTACGATACTTCAATTGATTGAAAATTTTTCCAATGTATATATTATTCAAAAATTGAATTAATTTCTAAAAAATTTAAATCAATATTTTTCAAGAAACTAAGTCCTTGAGAATTCTTATTTTAAATTATTCAAAGTTAAAATTTAAAAAAAATTCAATTTGAAACCTTTGAACTTTAAGTAGCATTTTATACAAAGAAGTGAGTTTTAAATAATTTAATTATTTGAAGAACTATCATAGAAACTATTATTATTATCTACAAATTATTCAAAGGATAATTTTACTTAAAAATTTAAAAAATAATTTTATTTTATAAAAAGTTGCGTTTACAATTTTAATAAATAATATTAAATTTTAAAGGTTTCCAAACTGAAATGTTTTTAAATTTAAATATTAAATAATTTTAATTATAAAAATTCTACAAAAAATTAGGTTTTAAAAAATTGGTACTTAAATTTTTTGAAGTTAGTCGAATTGTTGAATTCCATACATATATACAGTTGAAATATATGCAGTTTAACTTTAAAGTTATGCACTTTAACGAGATTTGAATTAATTTCTAAATTAATTCGTTTACAGTTTTCTCGTATGCAGTTAAACTGTATGCAAAATAAATAGTAAACAAATTTCTTTAA